TAAAATGTAACAAAATAAAAGTAAAAGTAGCTATTTAAAAATAATTGGTAAAATCAAAAATACTTAAGTACTGTAACAAAGTAAATGTACTTAGTTACTATACACCTCTGCAAACTCAAGACAGCAGCTATTTACTACCACTTAACAGTGAGTAAAACTCTCTTACTTGTATAATTTATTTCACATTTAGTAATTTGCACACATAGTACTTTTCAGTGTTTACAAGMTAAAGTGTTAAAATGCTGTTTCTATGCAGGAAAAACCAYGAAGAGTTCARTTATTATTTAACAGTGCTCAGCATTAGAAATGAAATAAGAAATGTAACAAAGTTTAACACTAAACATTAAGGGCCACCTTGGTGAAAATTACTTTGATACCTCTGCTTTAAAATGTCAACAAAACTAAAAAAAGGCAAAATAAATGTAAATGTAGGTTTTAAGCCTTGGGTCAGGATTTTATTTGTCATGTATATACAAACAAAGCTTATCTAATACTACCATTCAGGTATAAAATAGCTTTTAGTACCAAAATCTTTCCTTGCCCAGAGATTTCATATTTTCTTTCTAGCTTTATTTAAGATTAGATTTTGTGTTGAAATATGAGGCCGTTATCACCAGAGAAACATTATGTTTCCCTGGAGTTTTGTTATTCTCCTTTGAAGATGGTAGAACCATGTATATGTGACGAAGAGAATGGCTTATGCTGCAGTGTAATGTATCGTACAATATAACACATACAATCAGCGTGATGGAGTTGCTTTCAGCCTGCTGCTGGCCTGGCTGTTCATCTCCTGCTGTGCTGGGGCCTCAGGCAGGAGTGAGGGAGAGACATGTTTACATTCCCAATCAAAAAGGTCTTTTATGTTCACAGAGGAAGGTTTGATTGTGTGCAACTGGATGACAAACTGACTTTCAAGTAGTTGGAGGGGTATTTTTTGTGTTGCTGAATTTGCAGAACTTACTGTGAATTTAAACCAACACCAAACGTACTTTAAAAAATGCATGAACCACTGCTTTGAATCAGTGACAATTTCCTGTTACTTTTGTGTGAACAACTCAGTGGTCGTTATTGTTGCTTTTGCAGTCAACCTAACTTGCAGAACCCAGTTTTGAAATCTTTATGATCATTCCTATTATTAAAGATGAGTTTAAGAAATCAAACTGCATTCGAATGGTGCTAAATAAAGGACTGAATCACATCAATGTGCATTGAAAATGTTTTTTTCTGTAGTCTAGACCCCTTTAATAAGATCGGACTTTTGTGAAGTCATTAATCAGTGTAATTTTGTCTTTATTTCTCTTATACTGTGCCTGTTAGGYAATTGGGTTTATCAAGACATAAAAGTAAGACTCAAATGGCTCTGAACATTGTCTATGTCAAACTAATACCAGATACATGTATCTGTACGTGTTCTCATTTTTACATCAAAACACATMAACTATTAGGCAACCATTACTGACCTTTGTTTATTTTTCACAACAAAGACAGAAAAAGAGACTACAGTCTCTATCACTAGYAGTTTTTGACCCAGCTGACTCATCAAAAGCACCTTCACATACAAAAAAAATGCAAATTGCAGAAACATAAGCCACAACAGCACCACTGTGAGACAAACAAAGCYATCAGTTTGGTTTATATATCTTTCATGTAAACTGAACTGAAGCTGAAGTGAGGAATAATGCCCCCGACCTAAACAGGCCCTTTCTGGTGTAATCAGGAATACCCATGGCCTCTGAGGTTCTATCAGAGGGCCCTAATAGATACCAGCAGGGTTCAGAATGAGACACACAACAGCATCTCTTATCTGACCGAATACCAATATGGCTGTGACGGGTCATCAGTGTTTTGGCATCGAAATGCAGAAACAATCCCACAGCAGAGACTCAATCAATTTCTCTTTATATAGCTGTGTATACAGACACTTCTAAATGTTACAATCACTGGCTCAAAATAAAATTTTCACCACTTTCTGATGCTACCATAGACTTGTCTCATTTTTCTGTAACACCTTAATCTGTGACTTTTTGTTTATAACACTGGTTGAGCACAGAGGCGCTACAACCAAAACCTTGACTGTGCAATAGAAGACAGCAAATAGGTGTAATACTACGAAAAAGAGGCTTTGGAGAAAGGAATATCAAACTAAGGTACAGAACTTCTGAAGATGGAAAGCATTTTGAAACAATCACACTGATGCTTCGCAACTCAGGAGCCATAAATAAAGTGGTTGACAAAAGCTCAACCATGGGAACCATCACTGTAAACTATTCTATTCACTTGGTTGTGGTGTTTCTTATATGCCTGATTGTATTTTACATCCTCTTATTATGTGCTGGACAGTCTCGGGTCTTTCTGCACTGCTTGCATTTGGTATGGTAGAACCCAGGTTTATTGCTCTGGGTCTGAGGGCCTGCTTTGCTGCCATGACTGGTGACTCTGGAAACCTTAATTAGTCACAGGTAGGTCTTTTTCAAACCAGTCACATCCTCCGTCTGTCTGCTGGTGGTACATGCTGCTCATTTCCATGATGGCTCTTCATGTTCCTCCTCTTCCATATTGGATGTCTGAAGTCTGAGAGGTTCACATAGCAACCTGCGGCTCTAAAGCTATATGTAGCTCTTCGGTCACTCTGCAGTGGCTCTTTCAAGCTTTGACCAAAACTAACATGGAATATATTTCTGGGGGTTTTAAACCTACAACAAAGGCTAACTTTAGCAGTTTTCCTGTCAATTTGTTTGCAAATATGTGCTCAATAATACAAAGATAATTAGATCTTGCTAGTAGCCAGTTGGCCACTTCAATAAACTTCCAGCCTTAAAGTATTATCTTTCTCTCAAAGACTAAACTAGATAATAACAAGAATTATAAAAAAAATATCCCTGCAAAGTTCATAGTCGGTTAAAATTCACCTTGTATTTTTAGTTTAATGTCACTCCCACTGATTGGAAAGACCCATCTCCAACAAACTCCAAGCACTTACAGGCCACTAGTTGATAACACGTTTTACAACTTCAGATTGATTTTATTGGTGAGACAAGGACCAGAAATGGCTCTTTTGATTGTAAAGGTTGCAGACCCCTGACTTAGCAGTTTATTATCGGAGGCTTTCTTCCTKATGTACTCCRGGATCTGTTGCTTCAGTTAGTATGGTGACTCTGACTCTCACCAGTCCTCTGCCTCCGTCCTTTCTCTTAGTGGGACTATAGTCTTCCGGTGCTAAACACTGGGGTGAAACCCTCTGTACATTGTGAGGAGCTTTCTTGTCTTGATATCAGCAGTTTCTRTCTCTTCCGTTGGCCAGGCTATTATACCAGCAGAGTATATGATGACTGGTAAGGCATGCAAGTTGATCTTTTGGACTTTATTCCTATCGTACAGCTAGCTCTTTCRACCTGGCTTACTTTTTGTAGGTAATGACAGCTACCCTCTGTAAATAGGTGTTTTCCAACAATATGTTTGAGCAAAACCACTTCTTGTTTTAAATTAATGCTATTTCTCCAAAATGTAATAAAGTAAAATAATTATACTAAATTTGTTTACATTTTAATTTCTGATATTTACATCTCCTGACTCATTCTAATTGAATTGCTTTAAATAATAGCTRTTTTGTCATTATTCTTCTTTGGCTGTTAATGTCTGTTTCTGAACATAGTCAAGTCTTATACTGCAGGGTACAGAAAGAACTGCTAAAAGGTTAAAACTTTTCAGATGTGTTGAAAACATACAAATGCATTTACAGTGTTGAGCTTGGAATGTAGGGTTGTGTTGGTTTTAATTTATTTAGTTCTGTTAGACTTTTGTTATTATTGAAATGTGTCAACCTGTTTTATTTAAAAATGCGTTAAGGGCTTTACACTTTTGATAACATCATTTGGTTTACTTTATTATAATTATATTTACCTGAATGAAAATCTATCTAAAAAGCAGCCTGTTTCAGACAAGCTCAGTTGACGTTACACGACATTCATAACTGTTCAGGTGACAAAAAATTAATTAAAAAAATAATAATTTCATTAATTTTTTTTGCCAACTAAAGTTTTTAATAACTTTGTGTTAGTAAGTTTGAGAATCCTGTAAACAAACAGTAAAGTTGATAAAGACTAATCTTGGCTGAATCTGTCAGTGAAATCTATATTTATTACAGCACTCTGTAGAAGAGAGGTCATAGCATCATATTAATAATGGAACCTGAGGTTTCTAAATCTTACTCTTTCTGCACAACTGAACATAAAACATGTTCAGAATAATCTCCTTCTAAAAAAATAGGTGAGTCAAAGCCATTGACGTAGCAAAAATACCCTCGGCAGGAGAAAGTTTATTATTATTCATTAGTCAGGAAATTTGCTCACATCAGAGGTGTTCAAACCTGTGCTGTGTCCAAATTCATGGGCTGCATCCTTCGAAGGACCCAGCCTACCCAGTCTACGTTGGCCGAGTCCCTTCTTGACTGCGAAGACCAGAAGAAAGTGTAAATTTGGACAGTCTAGCGGTCAGCTTTATTCCTGCCCTTATACCAGTGGTATATCCTGTCGCCTTCCAACTGTTTTGATGCTAAACAGAAGTAATAAAAATTGAGAATACATCAAAATTAGCTAAATATTAATATATTACTATTAATATTATAAATAAACAAAATTAGCTTAGAGGCATTGCATGAAGAACATAGGGACCCACCATATGAGCTTGTTTACAAGAATTTATGACAAGAATAATATTAAAATCTATACAAATGACTAAAGCCTAACAATTCAACCGCTTCAAATTTTCAATTTTTGTTCCACCAGATTTTAATTTAAAACTGAACTTCGACCTAACTAACCAATATTACAAGCAAAAACATTTATGGTCAGCCCAAAATGTATCTTAGGATAGGTCCTGATTCATCTCAGTAATCCAGGTAAAAAATCAAAAAGAAAAAACTTGTATAGGTCTTCTGGACGGGTTCTTCTCTAATGAAACGTTTCGTCTCTTGTCCAAGAGACTTCTTCAGTCTGAGAGTTTCAGGCAAAATTCAGGCTTTTAAGCCCAGCCTCCAGGAGGCACAATTTTTTTCTTTTTGATCTTAGGATAGGGGCTGTGAAGGCTACACCAGACCTGTACTGGAGCTGTAACAGGATGTGTGCTCACAGGAACGAGGTACGCTGTGATAGAAATAACGTGACTAATCAACTAACCAATTTATCAAAAAAAATTATCTACAGATTAGCTGACAGTCAATCATTAGGAGCAGCCCTTAACTCTCCTGAAAAATGGGCATCAATTTGACATCACATTTTTTTTATAAAGATTTATTTAGCTTTGTGCAAACTTAAAAAAGCAACAAGAGCTAGCTGGAGCACTTCTGCAGGAATGTTTCTGCCAACAGCTGCAAAGTGAAACTGATGGAGATGTAAATGTTTGTTGAAAAAGCTATCTACAGCAGGTAAGATATTAAATGTTCATAAACTTGTCACTAAACCACACTTCAACAAAACAAAATTACCCTTTAGGACAAAGCATGCACTACTTTTGACCTAATCTTTTTGGCCTTTTTTCCAGCATAACTTCAGAAGCTGTCTGAAGTTAACAGTTGTGTAGGAGTTGTGTGTGAGGTGTGATGGTTTTATCTCACAAAAAAAGGTAAAAAAATAAATAAATGTCTGCTGCGATCTCAGAAAACATCAACAGACTCTGTGTGAGGTGTGAAATCACACAGCCTGGCTGCATCTGCTGTGTGTTCGTACACATATTTACACATAAACACACATACACACACATAAAAAATACACCTTTTCCCAGTTTTAACCCATGTGGAAGAAACATGTTGGCCTCATTCTTTCAAATGAAGCCGTGTATTATTAGGACTGTTTTGGGGATGTTGGTGGGTGGCATTTGTAAATTCAGTCAGGTGACAAAAACTAAAATAGAGAAACACAAATGTGCATGCCGATTATGGTTTTATTTTCTAGAGGCAGAATGGATCGGGAGTGTCACAACAGACACTAAAAGGCAATCCTCAGGGATGATTTGTCTGATCTGTCCATATGCTGAGGATCATCTAAAGTAATTAGGTGTATCACTAAACACTAAAAGCTTAAGCTCATTTTAATAAAATCACCCTTTGGAATCCTTTGACTGATGGGAGCACATCCACTGACAACTACAGTGAAGGATGAGGCCACTGTTGCAGCTCGTTGCACACAGAACCCCACAATTATATATAAAAAAGGAAACAGCAAAAGGATATCCATGACACTGCACATTTGAGCTCTCAGTGGGTTTTATGACATCATGCAATGTCAGCTGGAGAGCATTCAGAGCAGGGGCAATGGGACAACCGCCTCTCCTGTATCAATGAGCAGCTCTGCCTGATGACATCATGCAATCTGGATCACCAGCGCCGACACATCAGCACATCCTTTCTCCCCGTGCGCTGAGATTAAACCACAGGTTCTCCTATGCAGAACCGAGCTCACGCTGCCTAGGCTCTCTGCAGAGTCTCTCTGTTGCACTGAATTCTGGGTATTCCTGGCTGGGTATATTTCGCAGAGGTTACAGCATCTGGTATGTAAGAGATTTGTCTGTGAATCAGCTTGCCCTGTCAGTGGTATGGTTAAACATGTGAAAAAGCAACACACATATCTGATGCTGGAACAGTTGAGTGAAGGGACAGCAGTTGTGGGTGAGATGGTTCAGAAAAGAGAAAAAAAACATAATTATTTGTTTGTTTTGTTAACATCACAGCAGGTTTAAACTCATCCTGAAACTATTAGGTCATGAATCAGTGGGAAATTAAAGTTAAATGTTTTGTTTTGGAACATTTCTGGGATGTACTGCACCAACCTTTTGACTCTTATGATCTGGTCCCTCATGGGCTTGATGTCCTGGAAGCTCTGCTGGTTCACCAGGCTGTAAACCAGGATGAAGCCTTGGCCGTTTTTGATGTACAGGTCCCGCATGGAGGCGAACTGCTCGGTGCCGGCGGTGTCCAGGATCTCCAGCACCGACGGGGACGAGTCCACCTCGATCTCCTTGCGGTAGAAGTCCTCTATGGTGGGGTCGTACTTCTCGATGAACGTCCCGGTGACGAACTGCACGGTGAGGGCTGATTTCCCGACCCCACCGCTGCCCAGGACCACCACTTTGTACTCGCGCATCGTGGCTTCAATCAGTCGGTAAGCGATCAATCTCCTCGCGGCATCGAAACGAGCCCTCGCGCTCACCATTCGCGTCCCATTTTGGTCAAAAACACACCGTCTCCCTGCGCCGTGGCTCGACTATGGCAGAGCACAAAGACTCGGCGCCCCAAGGTGGATTTCATTGTAGAAATTCCCCATTTGCAGGCCGGAGACTGGCAGCAGCTACACGACCTACCGGAGGAGCAGCTGTCCGAAATGTGCACGAGAAGGAAGCAAAAATATCGCTCTTTGATGTGGACCGCGCCGGCTTTCATCTGCTTACCAAACTTACTCCATCCAGGACGCTGGTGGGGGGAAAAAAAAGAAAAGAAAAACAACAAGAAGCGCAATTTTTATCCAAGCTGCTCCTATAAAATAAACTTAAAGCTACAGCGACGCCGTGGGCTGTTAAAGAAGTATTTTGACTTTCTTTTTCACCATCTTCTCTGAAGTGTCTCCTCTCATCCTCCGCTCTCCTGTGCGTCTCCAGCCGCCATACTCTCGGGTGGAGACCCGCGGCCGCTGCAGCCCGGTCCCAGCTCGGCTTCCGTACCGACACACACACACACACACACACACACACACACACACACACAC